GCCAGTGCTTTCAAAGCATCGCCCATGTCTATGGCTTGCGGCAAGCCCGGGAATGGCGAGTTACACTGCGGCATACGTTCATCCGAACCCACTGGGTCCTGCCCTACCCCAGTGACCGCTCATTCTGGTCCCGTTCATCTGGCACGCCCGGTCGGAACAAACTGCAGACCTGGCTCAGTGGCCACCCCGGGATAGCGAGCTTCTACAGGGATACACCTGACAAGATCAGTGATCGCACTCCGCCAGCAGGGCCGCAGCGAGTGGTTATCTCACCCCAGGAGGTGCCAGCCCTTCCGGTATCTGGTTGGCAGCGATCGGAGCAGCCCATGCCACTTGATGTTGCCCTACCCGGTATCCCGACTGATCTGGATGAGTATCTTGCCGCGCTGCCTGAGCCGGTAGACACAGAATCCACTGCGGCTATCCCGTTTCCCGTGATCGGGGTGATGGATGGGCCGATACATCGCCATGTTCTCGCTGAGGCCCCAGAACGGAAGGAACTGCGTCACTATCTTACCCGCAATAACACCACCATCAACCATATCCATAATGACCCAAGATGGCTGCGAAAACATCTCCAACATTACCTACAAGCTCTTGCCGCCGCAGAACTCCAGCAAGCCTCTTACCTGACAGTCCCACGGTTAAAGCGCGCGGACATTGCCCATAGTAAACCACCTTCTTCTCCTAACAGACTCCCTGAAGTCCTGGAAGAGGACTCCGATGAGGAGAGTCTTAAGTACAAACAGCAGCGCGCCGTACGCAAGCACCGGATTCACAAGGCAAAGCTACAGGATGTGCAGCGTCTTGTCAATTCTTTCTATAAGGAAAAGGAACATATGTTGCAGCTCCGGGAGAAGAGTATGAGCCATGGTCCATGGGATGAAGAGGTTGTACCGGAATATCGAATAATGCGTGCGCGTCAACGGCAGGTGTGCTCCTTGCTAACTCGGATTTCTAAGCAAGTTCTTGAAGAAGTGTAGTGGGACTATATTATATTTCTATATTTATAGTCTCTTTACTGGCTAGTCTTCCTCAAGTATACCTTAGTTCTTAGGATGAATAGGCTACAATGCCTCTGAAGTATACTAAATCAGCAGTGTATAACTGAACTGTTTTTCTGCCAGTTTTCTTGATCTTCCTACTCTAGTAAGATTCAGGATTTGCAGAAAAACAGTTCAGTTATATGCTACTGAAATTATTATCTAATAACTCTATGGGCAAGATGATTATTATTTAATCATAAAAGAAAATTAACAAGAAAAC